CCCCCCCCTCCTTTCCCTCAAAATGGAAGAAGTTAGATTGTTTTAAAAGAGATGTTTCCCATAAACTCATTGTTTAACTTTTTGTTTTCTCGTTTTTGCCCATCAGTTCATCTATGGCCGTCTGGAAATCCTGAATAATGGCGGCGGTTTCACAGACATCTTTGAGCAGCAGGCGACGCTGTACGCAGACAAGAAGAGTGCTCAGTCAGTCATGACGGTGAGTATACACTCTCCGGAGTTGTGATGTATTTGTTTTTGTGCAAAGCATGTTATTACAAATGTCCAGCAGTGAATATACTCTTTTATACTCCTTGACACTTTGTAAATAAAGACTGGCTTTTTTTTTTTGGTTAATTAAAGAAATATTTTGACTCAAGTATTGCTTTTGAATAGATGCTCATTTTATCTATAAACTTTGAAATGTTGTGAATAATTGATCATTTTGTGGAGGGGGGAAAAACACAAACTTTTGTAAATGTGTAAAAAGACTCGGACACTTTGCAACCTTGTCAATAAATCCCTGGTCACTTTTTGAGTGAGTGCTGAGTCCCATTTGTCAGAAAACATTGTTACATTGTGAATGAACACATGGATGTTTGTGAATAAAGTCTCCTGCTCGAATTGTCCAGATAAACTTTCTTCCAGTTCTAATAGTAGTCCTCGGTTGTGTTGAGATGTAAGCCTGCATGGCCTGGGTGGGTGAAATAACACACAGACAAGTTTGTGATACTTCAACAAGGGGATTTCTGTACTAGATGTTTTCGCTGACAAAATTTTAAGTGGTGTGATTTTCTTAATTAATTGAACTTCTAAAAAGATACATGGGGTGGAAAAAGTCTGTAATTTCTTAGAATCCTAAATGTAGGTGTTTTTCACACCTCCATCAACACTATTTAGGAGTTAAGCTTCATCCCTGTCAACTAAGAGGCTAAGAGGAATTCAGTGGTCCAACCGAAAGATCGACATACTCGATTACTCGATAAAAATTATCTATTCACGGGAATCAAACTCGGGTCTTCAATGGGACGACAAAGCGTCTTAACTGCAGCCCCTTGCATCAGTTGGTAATTTCTCTCATAGACATCTTTCCCCCCCCCCCCCCCCCTCCCACACACACAAAAAAAAAAGAAAATTAATCAAGTTCCCTTCTTCTTCCCATTCTCTCTCCTCAGTAATGGTTATGACAATAATAGGGTATTGCAATTCTACTGCACATTCCATGTTTCCTCTCTCAATAAGCACCCATCTCCTGCCTTCCCTACCCCTCTCCTTTTTCTCTTCTCATTGTTTTCTTTTCTGTTCTTACATTTGGCAGTGTGACTTTTTTACAAATACTTTTGTCTCAAATTTATGTTTTGGGGTTTGTTTTGCCAATAATGATTGTGTGTGATGTGTTATGGTTTGTTGTTTTTTTCTTTCTTTTGCAGAAAGGCAAAAAGAAAGGGAAGGAAATGTTCAATGGCCTCAAAGTGAAAGTGAGTTATTCTCGAAGGCTTTATAGTAGAGAGTTAGTTTAGTAGAGTTAGTCTTTCAAACTTTTTGCTGTGGTCTGCTGGGTTCACACATGCTGCTAGCTAGGGGGTCACACCTGCATTTGACAAGACTGCTACTGATTGCTTCCATCATTTGTCTTCTCTTGTTCCACTTCTTTTCCCTCCCCCTTTGTATTTCCCCCAATCTTACTCGTAAATACGTGGGTATGTAGTGGTTGCTCTTGTGTTTTCTACCTCTGTTTTTGGGGGGTTTTTTGTTACAGCGTTACTGTTGCTTTTGTACATTTGCCAGCATTTTTCCGGCTAACAGTGTCCATATTGAGTTCAGTTCCTCTTTCTGTGCCTGCTTTCCTTGTCTCTCTTCCGCTCGGAGGCACAACATGGGTTCCGGGTAGAGGGCGTTGCCGCTAGCACTGCTTCTTTTACTCTGGCAATATTGTTCCTTTTTTAAAATTGTTGTATAGCTGTAATTAGTTTGATGCCGTGTTTTCTCCTGTTTCTCTTTCAATATGAATCAGTGGTTATATAGGTCCATCAACAGGTTTTGATTTGTGTTATTATATTTTTTTATTTCTTTTTTTTTATTTATTTTTTTTTTTTTTTAATCTTGGTTGTTGTTGGGGGGGTTTTTTGGGGGGGGTTCAGGCTTTTGGGGGTTTTTTTTGTTTAATATTTGTTTGAGGTTCGAGTTGCATCTATTTTATGAGGTCATCAATGTTTTACTATTCTAATTACACTTTTTGTTTTGTGTTGAGTTGTTGTTGTTTTTTTTTTGGGGGGGGGGTGTTACATGCGAATATTTTTGTGTGGATTACATAGTTTTATTTTAAGTAACACTTGTAGGTTCATTTATTTATGTTGTGTTCCATTCATATACTTGGATCTGTCTATGTTAGTCACGGAGATTGCCTTTGTCCCTGTAGGTTCTTTTGCAAATACGTCAAAATAAGGTACCCGTTCTCCCTCCATCTTTGCTTTTATCCACTTTTTCTGCAAACTCTACATCGTATATTTTATCACTATATCTGCTACTCAGGAATCTACCGTCACTTTGTTTATGGTGCTGGCTTTGGGCTGCCCAACTGCATTACTTACATATAATATAAAGTTTTTCTTGATCGCGTCTTATATAGACTCTCATCTGCATGTTTTTGTGTTTTTTGTGTTTTTTTATGTGTATACCGTAAGATGGGGCTAGATTTTTGTTCTAAGCGCTTTCTGGTTGTCACTGCAGCTACATCTGTGTGGTGGATATACTCACCGTCTGCTTGGCTAGGCGGAGGGATTTTGGTCTCTGTGTGTTAGTTACTAGCCACAAAGCTTTTCTAGCCGTAAGCTCAGGCTGGCTTTTTCAAAACAGGGGTTTTTTGGTGCTGTTTCCCTTGTACGTGCTTTTCTTTGTGTCTCTTATGATTGGCTTGGGGCTGTTTTGTTTTTTATTTTATCTGTTGGTGTTTGTGTGCTGGCTCTTGAAAGAAAAAAAATTAGTTTTGCAATTTTTGTTCTTTTTATGGTGTTCTGTGTTTTGTTTGGTTGGTTCCTTTATTTTTCTTTTTTCTTTTTCTTTTTTTTTTTGGGGGGGGGGAGATGGGGGGGACCCCCTTTCTAGTCAACCTATAGTTCTTTTTTTGTTGTTGATGGTTTTGTCTTGTATATTAGCTTATAGATCTTTACTTTTCCTTTTATTTAAAAAATAAAAGTTCTTGATTATATTAGTTGATAGCTCTTTATAGTTAATTTCCAAAGATTGCATTTCCTTACTGTTCTTTAAAAAGAAAATTTCCTTTATCTCATCTAACATTTCTGTACTCTTTTTTGTTGAAAATGTGTCCTTTTTGGCTAAACTGACCTTTCTTTTCTTATGAATTACTTATGTCAGCTCATGTTCTTTTAAGTTTTGTTGGGGTTTTTTAAGGGGGGGGGGGGGGGTTTGCCTCTAGTGTTCGCTTAAAGATCTTTACCAGAAATATTTCTCCTTTATCAGTCTAGCCTGGTGCCAGCTTGGCCCATACTTTGATACTCCATACTGAACTTGAAAGTTCACAAGAAATTGTAGTTAAAGGTATAGTGTATACACATTTTGCGATAACCCTATCAACAAGGTAAATTCATATGAGAGGCAGGACTTCCATGATTAATATCCACCTCCGATGAAACCAAGTTAAGTGGGTGGCGAACCTCGGGCAACTCGTCAAACGGTGGGAGTTCCCTTACTTTCAGCTAGAGATTCAAACCAGGGTCATCCATACTTCAGTTCAGCATAATACCAACCGAGTCACTTAGCTGGCCGAGCAATATATGACAGTGAGAACCAGTTTCCCTGTTTTAATACACGTTTTGGTAACCGCAACCGGGTATTTTTCTTTGTCATTTTATTTCGGGCTCACACACTTGTTCCGTTCTCTTGATTTTAAAAACATATCTTGTCTGATCCATTTTTATGTAGGTTTGAAGTTTGAGGGTTTATTTTATTTGTTGCACTATTGACTGGGAGGGAGAGGAGAAGTTAAAGGGGGGGGGGGGAGAGATGGTTGAGATGTGTGTGTGTATGTTTGTGGGGAGGGGAGGGGGGGGGTATTTATTTATTCTGCTTATTTGAGTTGATATGGAAATGTGTCTATTTGCTGCCAGTATCATTTTCAGCAGCCTCCCCTTAAAATATTTAGGGTTTTTTGTTGTTTCTTTATATGGGGGGGGGGGGGAGGGCTGGGCAATTTTTTGTTTTCGGGTGATGGTTTTGTAGTGATAACTTCAGTGTTTATAAAGTGGCCAGTTTTTTGTCTTGTCCAGGTGTTTGTATTGTAATTTCTCAAAATGTGTAGGCTATATATTTCTTTTACCATAGCATGAATGCACTTTTTTAAATTTCCCGTGTACCATTAACTAAACACAGGACAGGAAGTGTATTAGTTATTATAATGAAGGGCTTATATAATTGCACAAGGTTGTGTTTAGGTAGGTACTGTTTTAGGCACCAATCCGATTGTTGTGTTCACAATAGCTTGATCACTGGGAGCATCAATCCGATTGTTGTGTTCACAATAGCTTGATCACTGGGAGCATTTTGTGGCGGATTACCTCCGTGGTCACTTTTGCAAAATCCTCATCAGTGGAAAAAGTTTTGACTGGAGACTGAAATGGACCCTTTTCGTACCACGAATTATCAGTATATGGTCGAAAGGTGTACAGAAAAGCACAGATGTAACGCTGCTTAGTACAGAAAGAGTTAATGTCTGATTCTATCTCTGACTTAATGAGGCTAGACAGGTTTTGGGGGTATTTCTTTAGCTTCTAGAGTACATTCACTCTTTAACCTGATGGTCTATAGTGTTTTGGTCTTTGATTTGACACCCGCCTCATTTTTTAAAAAGGAAAACAGAGTCTAGCTTTGCCATTTTGGGTTCCAGGGCACCACTTTTTTTTTCCTTCTTTTTTTTTTTGCTTGTAGATCAACCATCTTCCCCATAGTTATAACTATCTTCTTTTAAGTTGTACCTCTCTTTTCTGTTGTTATAAATATGTCCCCATGTAGTTACAGCTATCTTGTCCTGTACTTATAGAGCTATCTTTCCTAAATATACAAGTCTTTCCTGCAGCTAAAAACTCCCTCGTCGTTATGACTTTTTCCTTGCGTAGTTTAAAATATTGTTCTTGTACTTACAAATGTCTTACCCGTAGACATGTTCTTGCAGTTAAAACTGTCTTCCTTGTATAAATAGCTATTACCGTCTGTGGTTAAACTACCTTCTTTGTAGTATTAATTATTACTATAACCACATGTGGTTAAACGTATCTTTCATGTACGTAAAACAATCTTCCCTGTAGTTATTATAATTATCGTCCCTGTTATTGTAACCATCTTCCCTGTAGTCACAATTGCAAATGTTTAGCTCTGTCCTGTACTTATAATGTATCACTATCTTTCCTCTTAATTTTACTTTTCCAAAGAACTCGACAAAGCTCCACGAGTGTTCTCTCTGCTCTCACTCGTCATGTGATTTCAAGATTTGAAGTCATTGTCATGATGTGACAGGAACTAACTCTAGTGGTGTGGGACGGTTACTCACAGTAGAGATCTGGCTTGTTTGTGATTGGAAGTGTAACGTATTAACATTTCCCCGTGGGTAGTTGTCGGGCACTCCACTGATGTGGTCTGCTCCTTCTTTCCTTCCGACATAATGTCTTTATCGATCCTCCTTCTTTTCCTTGTTTATCACTATCTCGCAACACCTCTAATCTTCGGCACTTAAATGACCCTCTATTTATCTTAAGTTGCAAGTGCTGTAAAACTCTTGTTAAAAATATTAAAACTTAACAAGACTAACACTTTCCCGTGATAGTAAATAATCTAAAACTCAACTTTTGACTTGCTAAGGCTGTTACACACCATCTTACCCCGCACTCTACGGGTAACGAAATAAAACGCCGTAACCAATTTTAAAAATCACTCTGTGCTTAGCTTAGGCTGTTCGCACCCTTTCCTCTCGTCCTGGCTCTGATCTTGTCATTCACAAAACTGAACTTTGCACTTTGCCTGCTGACCTTTGACCTGCAGGCTGCTCCCATGATGTCAACGGCTGTGAACTCTGTAAGTGCTTCTTCCTGCCTGAGATGGCGGGTTCTTTTTTTTTTTTTTGGTTT